AGCATCTGATAGTTTTTTAATATAAAATGGTACAGGTAGATGGGCATCAGGGTAGAAGAATATTTTGTTTCTATAGAAAACTTACAAAACTCCAGAAATTAAAGGTTGCATTGTTCAGCAGGGAGCTTATGAGAACTGCAGTGTGTCTCAGCCTCCACATAACTGCTGTTCATATACAGGCAAAGCAGGGAGAACAACTTGCTTTTCCTTCAGTTAGTAGCTCAGATCCTGAGTGGACTGGACCTTTAAAGACTTGCCTTTGTATAATTAACATTTTCATCATTGTTAGTATGTTAGCAAGTGAGACTTAATATAACAAAATATTGAATTTACTCATTATGGACTGATTTAAAAGACTATGATTAATTAAAACAATAAATTTTCCAGAAAATAAATAGTTTTAACTGGTGGTAATCCAGAAGAACTAGAAAGAGATTCCTGTAGTGCTCTAGTCTGTCTTGTCCAATTTGCTTTTCAGAAAGCAGGATGTTAATCTAAAGAGAAAAGTGAATATGTTTGTTAGATTTATTTTTGTTAAAAAAAAAAAAAGGAAGACACGTTTTCTATTAGCAAAGAAAAAGTAAAGGAAGTAGAGGAAGCATCTTTCTGAGACTGCTAGCTTTAGACCTTAACCAGAGAAGCAGCCCTAGCTGGCTTTGTCTGCAGCTGTCTGAAAACCATGTTTAAACATGTCTTGACCACAGGTCCTGTTGAATCAGTGGCAGACACAGTTTGGTTAGCACATGCAAATGAGCTGGCTGTAGTACCAAAATAGTAGAATTTCTAAAGACACTGGATACAGAAAAATTTAAATCTGTTAGAAAAAAAAGAAGTTGGATTTCTTTGCATGGTTCTTGTGAATCACTAGAAGCCTCTGTGCAATCGGAGGGAGCTTTACCTCCCCCATGGAAGCTAACAGCCAGCTGGCTGGCCTCACAGCTGGGTCTGCTCCAGGCCTGATGGGAGGACAGGTGTAACAAGTGTGGAAATGACCAAGCAGCTGTTTCCACTAGTTTGCTGCCAGAGGCACTCGGGCTCTCAGCTGTGCTGTTACAGTAAGCTAGATCATGACCTAGAGACCAGAGTCCTTGAGTGACTGGAGCTCCTGATCTTGTGCCTTGCAGGTTCTGTCCCAGGGCCATGTCCTGTCCAGCATCAGCACCCAGTGCAGTCCTTGGAGGTAAGTGCTATCAAAGTTGTGTGGAATTGTGTTCTGGGTGATGGCCAAAGGCTCTTTAGTCAGGTCTCTGTGAGCTAGGAGAGTGAAAGTGTCCTGAACAATAACCCTTTCTGTCTCTTGATGGGGTTAAAATATGTCCTGTGAAGGTTTGTCTTGCTTTCAAAATTCCTGGGGAAAATCTCCAGGGAGGGCCTGTGAATAACTTGCTTGTAAACCTTCTCTCTTCCCTCCCTGCCAACACCTACCCAAGAAATACCTTGTTTATCTTTCAGATCTCCTCTGCTTCCTTATACGCCATTGTTGGATGCTTTGGTGCAAATTAACTAATTTAAGATGCACATTGAGGGAGAGTTGGCTAGAACTACACAAAAGTTTGCATCTGGTATCAGGTTATGTCTCTCTACACTGGTGAAAAGTTCTCCAAGAGAGGCAAGGTTTCATGTGCAGGACATATGGCAGATCAAGAAAAGCATGAATGGTACGAATGGGTCTGAGATGCAGTCAGTGATACAAATTTCAGCTGTGGTAATGTAAGAGCTTTGGGGATATAAATGTCTCTGAGAAAACCACAGAATGGGGCTGCAAAGGTGCCTGTGATGTGTATAATGATGTTTCAGCTTCATCTTGCCTTATGGTGGGGCAAATCTTACACAGTGGTGTATGTTACTAGTGAATTAAAACACAGGCATACATTCAAAATCGCTGCAACTTTATGCTTTAGTTTTAAGTAATTTTGAAGGTGTATCTTTAATTCCTTCCATAGAAATACAAACTATGGCTGCTTGATTCCCATTTGTCACCAATGTTCCTCTGATCTCTGCACAGCTACGCTCATTAAGTGCCTCCTTGTATGTTTACATAGATGTTTACTCTCCAAACAGTTCTCGTCATTCTAAAACTACTTAAGGAATGTACCTGACAACTTGGGTGGAAAAACATTCTCTAGATGTAAAAGACTGAAAGAAGTGCTTCAGTGTTCTTTGGTGAACACTGGTCTCAGTGTTCACCAAAATTCCATGTCTGGACTGAAATATTTCTTTTGACTCATATTTTTATTTGTGTAATACTACATCTAACAACATAAAATATTTTAACATTACAAGCAAGTAAAGGATGACAGAATGTCATCTTGTTGTTTTAGACATCAAAGAGAAAAAACCAAAGTTATAGGAAAGTAGTAACATCTTCATTTGGAACTGTTGCTTAAATAGAGCAATTAGTAAAAAAACTGCATTTTGGTTACCTTTCTGAAAAAATAGTAAAGAGAGAGAGACGGAGACATTCCTCATCCAGTTATAAATGACATAAATACAATCAGTGTTATGTCTGTGTAAGTGAGAATACCAAGTGTGTAAATATAACTATGTTCATGCTCTGGATTTAGATTGTTTAAAGCAAAACATTTTGCTTACATGGTATTGAGCAATTTATTTCAATCACCATTTGAAGCCCCTTTATCTCCCATGCTGCTGTTTGCGATTTCTAATGATTGTTAGGGAACTAAGAACAGCTATGAGGATATACTGGCAAAGATAGTCTGATAACCTGGCTGCATAAAAATGCAGGTGTTTCTTGTAGCTGTTAAGAGGGGTCTGTTGAATAAATGTATATAATTTTTCTAGAATGTGCAGTTCTAGAAATGGTATGGATATTGTGTTCAAGAGAAAACATCCAACCATTCAGACTACTAACACTTAAACCTAGTTTATATTTCTGAATTGAAACAATGCTGTATCTTTGGAACTTTTATAGTAAACCAAACCTTTTTGGTGATATCATTTTTTTTCATCCGGAATTACATAAATTAAGAAATCAAGCAGTTTTTAAAAGGAAATGGGATGGGGATGTTTACATATTTTGTCTTTTCAGGACCATTTGATGTGCTGCATTAAAGCTGCACAGCTGAACATCCACAAACTGTGTATTTCTTTGTGCAGTATATTGTTGATACAAAGGATAGAATTTCAGAAATGTAAAACATTGTGCCTTGCCTTCCTTCTAGGGAAACCCTTCAAATGTCTTGCCAAGCTCTAGCTTCTGCATTCCACCTCTTTTATTTTCCAGAAATGATTTTTTTTTTTACTTTGTAATTAGCTACGCAGTTGTACAGAGGAGGAAAGTATTGCTGGCAGTAATACATGTGTCTACACATTGAGGCTTGCTCATTGTGTAGACACAACATGCAAACATCTTGTAGCCCTTCAGCCGACTATCAACACACCATTAATAAGCAGACAGCTTGAAAACTCAGCAATAGCACAGTGTTTGTTACAAAAAAGAGAAACTGCTTTGATCTGGCCACTGCATTTGTTAGAATCGCTGCGTTATTATGCATAACAGAGTGCTCATGTTTAATTGGTCATCATACCTAATCTTCGTATGGTCCCCCTTTATACCAGGATTGTACAGAAGAGGAATTCCTGAAGTATGTGTTAGCTACAGATAACTCACAGTATGTTTATTTTGGAGGAAGAGCAAAGGAAGGAAACTGACATATTTGTAAAACCTTTTCCCCCCCCCCCCTCTCTCCTCATCTAGAGCAAATGAAAATAGTACGGAATTATGAGAGACCATCCAAGGTAATTCTAAGCTGTTCATGTGCAGTTTTGCTCCACCCTGTATACACTCTATTTTTGTTGTTCTTGCTGTGGTCCCTTGAGACAGGTGTTAATGTTACTGTGTCTTGGAATGCTTGTTACTGCATCTGGAGATGAGAAAATTCTGTCTCCCCTCAGCAATCTTTGTGGATATGAACAAACAAGTACAACATGCTCAGGCAGTGCTGGTTAGAGGGAGGGGGAGAAGTAAAATAAAACTAATGTGCCAGTATCATTCAGGAAGCTCTGGATGAAAGTACTTCTGTGACTTCTTGCAAGTTACTGAGTACAAGCATTACTTAAAAATTAACTATAGTTACTATAAGAGTATTAGAAGCACACAAGTTTTGATTGTCCCAAAACAGCTAAAACTTTGGTACAGATATCAACACTGTTTTAAAGGACTTGTTTTCAAATCTTTACTAATTACTGTGAAATACGTAGATGATAGTAAAACAGCCTGTAATTAGTCTGGGACCCTGCCCTCTTACAGGTCCTTAAGTGAAACTAAGGCAGTATTTATGCCAGTACAATTTTCTGCTGTGGCAGTGATTGAACACTGGATTAAGACTTTGAAGGAGTTGGGCATGGAGGAGCAAGCAGGGAAGGACTCTATTAGTAATAAATATCTGGGAGCTTAATTTAACAAAATGTTTTGTTTCCACATTAGAAACACAATTCTGGTGCATTTTCTTCCCCTCTTTTGATCAAGGGTGTTTTGGACTTGAGCCAGACTTGTCTATACATGGAGGTATCCTAGAATAATTACTCTGGAAAAAGTACTTTGGATTAACTCTGTGGGAGTATTGTTTCAGAAGGAGTTATTTGGAGTATCAACAGATTTGAGTGCTCTGTCTCTATTGCCCTTTTCTCAGTTTCTCTGGAATCTTAGCTTCTTCTCTCTTTGTACTCTAGATACCAGTAGAAAAGAACAATTGAGTATTGTCATGCTGCTAAGAATTTGTGAGGTTTTAAAAACTTGCATCTGCTTTCCTAAACCAGAGCACTAAACCAAGATTCTGTTCAAAAACTAAAACCTCTCTGTTTCTCTGGAGTGGGTTAAGTTGATAAGGTATGCTGGCAAATAAGCTTTTGGAGTTATGGGTGAAAGCATGAGAAAATGACCTGGGATCCAAACCAACATACTGTTTTTGAACAATTAAAAGGTAGGAATAAAAAATTTTCAGATATGTTCAGAGACAGGAAATGCTGGAGGAGGAGATTCAGGTAGTCTTCAGTTTCTGTTTTCATGTGGTCTGTGAATAGTCTGGTAAAAGAGAGATTTTATTTTTTTCCCAGTCCTTTTTTTTTTAGTTCTTCTCTTGCACGTATGAAGGAATTTGGGGAATACAGACTCAATACTGGGATCATACTGTCCATAGTTCTGTACCAACCTTAGCACACTTGGGCAATGTTATGCCCATGGTCGGTACCCGGACCGACCTGACGGCGCTGAGCAGCAGCCAGACCGGTATCAGCCCCCCAGGGGGGCATGGTTTGATGGCTCAAACACATCTCCCCCCGCCGTGGGAGCTCTCTGCCCTTTTCCCCAACGGTGCACGGGGGCTACGGCCCGCTCCTCACCTGCGGCCGTGACTCGCCCCTCGGTAAGGCTTTATTTCGTGTCGCGAAGCGCAAAGCCATCCGAGCCCGCGGCCGCGGCAGACGGTGAGCCCCCTGGGGGCCCCGGGAGGTGATGGGCGAGTCACGGGCGGGGCGACGCCCTCGGCTGCCCCTCCCAGGGGAAGGGGCCCGGCCCCGGGGACATTTTGTGCTGTGCCGGGGGCCGGGCAGCCGCGGAGGGCGGGGCGGGGCGGGGCGGGCCCCGCGCGGAGCCGGCGGGGCACAACGGGCGCGCTCGGCGCGGGGAGCGGCGACGGCGCTGGCGGCAGGTTCCCGTGCCGGGCAAGAGCAGATGGCGGCCCTGCTTCTCCTCTACCTGCCCCTCCTGCCGGGGCTGGCCGGCGCCTTCAACCTGGACACGGACAACGTGATCAGCTGGAGCGGGGAGACGGGCAGCCTCTTCGGCTTCTCCCTGGCCATGCACCGGCAGCTGCAGCCGCAGGAGAAACGGCTGTAAGTGCACCTCGCCCCGCCCGGCCCCGTCCCGGGCCGCCTGCGGGGACCCTCCTACCTTCCACCGCCGGGAAACTTCCCCTGGCGGCGGGCCGGGGTCGCCAGCCCCCGCGAGGTGTCCGGCCGGCGGCGGGAGCGGGGCCGGGCCGCCGGCGGCCCTCCGAGGGATGGGCAGCACCTGCCGCGGGGCGCTGCGGAGCCGGGGCAGCGCCGAGCGGCGGGGACGTGCGGCGGGGCGAGGGGCCGGCCCCGCGCCCGGGGACCTGCGCGGAGCCGAGGCTGGAAAGGGGAAGCGAGCGGCAGCCGCCGCTGGGAGCCCTTCCCGCCGCGGCGCTCTCCTGCGCGGGCCGCGCCGGTCTGCGCCGCCGGAGCCTCCCCAGCGCTCGGGTCTGTGCTCCGCGGCATACCCGGCCTCAGGTAACTCCGGGTCTGCTGTTCGACACAGACCCTGCCCGGGAATGCAGATGAGAGGTGATACAAAGAAGTTAGGAAAAATAAGTCGGGGCTAGTGATGTATGCATGAAACTTCTTTTGGGAAATTACGAAGGCAAAATAAGGCTCCTGTGTACATCGTCAGCATCCTTGCTGCTTTGTGTCCATAGCGGAGCAGTGGTGGACCCCACCCTATCCAGTAGTGCTGGATAGCGTGTGAGTGTAAAGTATTATTGTTAAATAAATGCCTCCTCCTCAAATATTTAGTTTTAATTCAAGGCCAGATACATTCATTATCCATATAGAGTTTACGAAATGAGGAAGCTGGAAAGATATAATATTCTTCATAAAGTTAGGTGGTAAATTGAAAAATCCTGTGGGCTCATTTTGCTCACACTTGCGCTCCTGTGTGATTTCATAAAAATTACAGTGTGTAGAGGAGTATAAGTCACATACACGCATGTTTCATCTTCCACCTAGCAGATAAAATGACCCATAGTATCCTGAGGAATGAAATGCAAATCTATGAGCTCCTTTCCAGAGGCCTTCATCTTAATTCTTGACAGGATTACGCTTGCATAAGTCTACTTTTAGAGTAGACTCTTTTAGTACGACCAAGAAAGCAATGCCTGAAGCTTGTTAGTCTCCTGTTGTATTGTCGGTCCTGGCAGAATGAGTGTGTAGGAATATGCAGACAGCCAATTACTGAGAAGAAAAAAGCAGCAGAAACACAAGGACAGTCACAGTATTCAAGCTGGTATGTACTATTTGGCTGAAATGCTTCAGAGATTATTGGCATGAAAGTTCTGTATTGTATGTCTAGTAAGTGCTTCCTCAGGCAGTCAAAGAGCAGAGCCAGATGCTATCTGCCTTGACATGGCTTTCTGAATCCAGGCTTTCATGAGAAGCAAGGATCTCTATTAGAGACAAAACCAGGCTAGACAAACTGCGTTTTATGGTGACATGTGCTTCTGAGTATGAGGTGTCTTGGCCATTTTTCAAATCCATGAGTTTTAGCATAAATAATTGGAAAGCTACCCTGGGTAGCTGCTGGGTAGTATGCTTGGAATGAAACCTTTTATGTCAAACAGGCATGTTGTAGTCACTTTGAACATAATTTTTGTGTCTGTAAGAGTTGTAGTATGTGGCTTTATGAGAACAAGACATTAAATATGCTGAACTGTAGCTGTCTTAGGAACTGAGCTGTGTTTAGCTCACTTTGAGTTCTGCCTTCTGAAGAAGGAGGTTTGGTGGGGAGTGTTAAAGAGAAGCCTTCCATGTTAGGCTGCATTTTTATATCAGATAAAAATGAACTAGGATGAGCTAATACCAAAGGATTTGTGTGGTCTTTTCCATGGATTGATGGATTCTTCATAGATGGAACAAATGGTATCTGCTGTCTGGATACTTGGGGAAGGTAGAAAGTTATGGGAACAGGAGGTCACACTGAGGTCTACTGCTGAGAAACAGTTATTTCTAATGCCTTCATGCTGCCTGTTACTTAACAGCAGGACTCAGGGGTGCAATACCTCTGCATTCCCAGGTGCGTTTGGGTCTGTCTTACCTATGCTGCAAAAGTGAATTTATATACAGCTATCTCTTAGTCAGATAGAAGTATCTGTTTTACCCTTTCTTCTTGAATAGATGCTAATTTCAAAATACAGTTACATTTAGAGTGTGAATACTGTTAAGTAGTTGCCAAAAATACAAAAACTCCCAATTCATACTGAAGCATAATTAAGAGTGATACTTGGAATCTCATCTGGCAGGGACCCTTATTTCAAAGAAACCTGTCAGTTTGAGCACCTTTCTGTCCCTCAAGTTTTACAAAATTAGGTTGTCATTAAGCATGTGCAGGATTAGTCCATCTTTGGAAAAACAAGAAAATGAGAGAAAGTAAAATACACTGATTGTATTCAGGGGCTAATGGCTTGGTAAAACAAATTAAATTATGTGTAATTTTCCTCTTACCTCACTTACGCATTTGTTAAGTGAAATGGTTCCCTCTTCCTCACACAGGAGTGTTCAGTGTGATTTAATCATTGCAATAATCCTCTGTAAAGATGCGGGTGGAGAATGTCTGGGAGGTGTGACAAAGGTACAGCTGAAATAGCCTTTGATTAAACATGGTATTTGCTTTTGACCATCTTTTTTGCTTAGTCACAGAATGTTATGGATTTCATATTAGCTTTGAATGGCAAATTAGTTTATTAGTGTTAGCTACAAATGCCATGTTTTCTAATTACTTAACTTTCACCATTATGAAGAGATGACTGTTCAATTGCTTTGACATTAGTTGTAAACGGTGCTGAGTATAAAGCTATGGACTAATAACAAGATTTTGATTTTAAGTATCTTCAAATTAGAAGAGTTAGAAAGTTTGTCAGCTGGAGAGGAGAAAATCTTTTATGGTAACTGAAAGTGGATTGCTAATGGTATGTGGGTGTGAAAGACAGCTGAATACAAACTTTATGTGCATTGCGGAACATTAATGTTGGGGGTACCAAGGCAATCTCCCTGGATTTTTGTGTTTGGTTCTGGCTCATTGTCAAGCACAGTGAATCAAGCAGCAGAAAAGGCTGATGGAGCTCTAAAGGATCTGGGTTTGTTGCCCTGCGTAAGTTTGTTCTGTTTTTAATCTATAAATATGATGAAAGGTAGTTCTGGTTCTGCAGGGGAATGGTGGCACAACAGCAGCACATTTCATCTGCAGACTGGAAGAAGGTTTGTAGCTTAGAGGGGTCAGTGACTGGGGGCAGAGCTATAGGAGAAACATGTAAAATGTATGTGGTTCTGTGATGAAAATGTGAGTGCATCCAGCATCTCTAGATGGGGACTACACTGATCATGCATTTATTTGCTACTCTATGTTATATTACTGTTAGAATAAAAATACAATTACTAGCTACTCACTATATATATAATTTTATAGAATATATAGAGATACGGTCTGTATGTATGCATATTCTATATGTCGAGCAAATCCATTCCAGTTTGGCTGTAATTCACAATGATTTAAGCATCTTGAATTAAAACACAAGCATCAAGAATATCTAAATTTGTATATTATTTTCATTGAGTCCTAGAATCACTTGGGTTGGAAAAGATCCTTAAGGTCAGTCCAAGTGTAAATCTTAACACCTGTTAGCCAGTTTTTTTTTTTGTTTAGAATGATAGAATCACAAATTGTCCTGACTTGCAAGGGACCCACAAAGATCTACTAGCAAGTAATTTTGATATTATTTTCAGTAGAAGTAGGGAGCTGAATTCAGGTAAGTTTCTTGTTATTGTGTGAGGCAAAAAGGGTACTGTAGTTACTAACATTTGGGATTCTTCCATCAGCTGAAAAGCTGTAGTGAAAGCTGTGGATAGGCACTTTATGTCAAGACTGCACTGTCCATTACCAGCCATAAAATCCTAAAAATTGCAGTGTCTTACTGAAAATTTTACTTGGTACCAGTTTTGCTGATGCTGCACGTCTCTACTGTGAGCTTTTATATCAATACATAACAAAGTTGCCTTAGGTCAGCAGATCTGCTGGCATTGCTGTACTGCTGCAGTGCAGCCCCAGTGGCATTTAGCCAGTACTTTTGGGTTCTCTGGGGGCTTGGGCTCAGAGATGCTTTGCTTCAGCAACAAAGAGCTGGATTATGCTGGTCTGCAGTGGAAGATGGCAATTTCTACTTGCAGAGGTGGTGTAGTGTAATTCAGACTTTGGGTGAACTGAATTAATGCATGTTTACACCTTCAGGTTTAAAA